TGGACACATTAGAACTCAAACTATCCAGAAAAGCTTGCAACTTGCCTGGATCGTCACTTAGTAGCACAATGTCGTCTGCATACTCTAGATCAGACAGTCTGCCACCCGGAAGTAAATCGATACCGCTATCCTTGCACGAGGATATGGCTGTTTCAAGAATTAAGTCTATGACAAAGTTAAATAGAAAAGGAGAAAGAGGACAACCCTGTCGAACACCACTTTCGGTGGTGAACTGGGGTGAAAAAGTGACGTAAGCTCGAACTCGGCTTTGGCTATTATTGTAGAGGGATTGTAATATTGAAATAAACTTCTCGGGCACTCCCTTCAGGGAAAGGCAGCGCCAGAGTTTAGAGCGGTCGACTGAGTCGAAAGCCGTTTTTAGATCAAGGAAAATAAAAATAGTGTCTACGAAAGGAGTGTCTATGTTCTAGGATTTGACGGAGTGTGAAGATGTGGTCAATACAGCCTCGACCAGGTCTAAAACCGGCCTGGTTCTCACGCGTGCACCGTTCGCGTGCGGCAGACAATCGACGGAGTATGATACCGGCGAGAAGTTTAGAGGCAATATTGATTAAACTAATTCCTCTGTGGTTTTCGCAGGAGGCTCTATCACCTTTCTTGTAAATCGGTGTGATCACCAGTTCACACCATTCAGTTGGAACCTGTTCCTTTTCCCACACTGAGCCCAGGAGTTTTGTTAACTCCAAAACCAAGGCTGAGCCTCCATCCTTAAAAACGGATGGGGACAGCCCGTCGGGGCCGCGCGGTAACCGCCCCCACTACCAAAAAATAATAACCTACAACCCAGTCAATAGATAGCATTCTGTAGACCCTTTGTGCGGTACGAGTTGCGCAATCATGATTAGTGATCAAAATTATTTGTTCGCTCTGCAGGGCGTTTTCCAAAGAATATAAATATGGTCGAGGAATTATCTGCTGCTTAGTTTCGTATTTTAATAATTTTTCTTAATGACCCTGCAACTTTTCCTAATAGGAACTCGCGAAATCTGTGACAGCAACAGAATGATTAAGTGATGTTACTTCGCTCATTGGTATGGGTTGAAACCAGTCGATCATGAGAGATTTTCTGTTTGAGTTTCTCTATATTTACGCAAA